CTCTCTCTCTCTCTCTCTTTCTTTCGTCTCTCCCCTCCCTCCCTCTCTCCCTCCCTCTTTGGCAGCATTGCAGGATTACGATACAGTCTACTCCATCAATTTACCACAACAGTCCCCTTCTTTGTGACTAGTGAGCTGGCCACAGAGAGTTGGTTCAGTTGTTTCCTCCTAGGCCTGAGCGAGGAGGCAACATTGTATCTGTGGGTTCACAGTAACATGTCTCCCGTTACTAGAAACATCAAAGTTCTAATAACAAATCCGCAGCCGTTGTTCCCAGAGCTCTTTTATAAGGAGCTGGTTGGAACCTTGTATATGAAAGAGTGATAGAGGGTCAGGTCCCAGGCAGCTGGCACCTGGGGCTGAGTCAAGCATTTATAGAGTGATTTTCATGCCAGTTCCCCTCCAGCCTTTCCATGGAAATGAGCAGTATCCCAGAGTGGTTAAGACAGACTTGGGCTTGAGCCTTGGCTGAGCTACTTAGTAGCTGTGTAATCTTGGCTAAATTACTTAATCTCTGAACCTCAGGATCCTAGATCAGCGATTTCAACCTTTTCATCTCATGCACACATAAACTAATTACTAAAATCCTGCAACACACCAAAAAATATATTTTCTGCCAATCTGACAAAAAAGTTAGGTCTAATTTCTATTCATTCACACCGGACAGCTATTGAGTTGGCTGTTGTCATTTTTTATTTGACACTAAGGGAAAAGAGGTCAGTGCCTCTCACTAAATAGTCAGGTACTGCATGTTTTAAAAATTCTTGAGGCACACCGGTTGAATATTGCTGTCCTGGATGTTAGAAGTCCAGAGAACAATCTTGGCTCTGCCACTGACAGGTTCTGGGACCGGAAGGCTGTGCCAGGGGATCTGAGAGGCCCCTAACACGCTCTAATATTTTATGATTTTATGGCCCCTTCTGATTCCATTATGAAACAAGCAGCTGACTATGTTCTCTTTCTCCAGAGACAAAACAGCTAGAAATGCTTACAACTTTTGGTTTTTCAAAGATTCGTTTCAGACAAGGCCTCACTGTGGCAGCTAGTGGTAGCACTGCCTTCTTTCCTGACCAGTGTCTAGGAGGGGCGCTGTGGCGGGAGGGCTGCGCCTGGGCTGAGCTGAGGAGTGGTGTCCCAGGCTTCCCAGACCCATCTTGAGAGAAGGCCAGAGCTGAGGCCTTCCCTTTGCCTCTTGGAGGGTGAGCCCTGCAGCCTTCCTCTTCTGTAGACCTGATTGACGTGTTTGTGTGTGTGTGTGCCAAAGACACCCAGCTGGAGGAGGAGGTGGGGGGGGAGGTGCGAGTAGGAGAAAGCGTGGAGAGGAGGAGAGGGGGGAAGGGCAGTGGCAGCAGGACCCTGAGGAGAGAGGGCCACTGGCAGGGCCATTTGGCCCAGGCTTTATCCCAAGCATCATCCTAACCTAAATGCCCCCAGGTTTAGCCAAACCTGAGAGACGGGACAAAACCCAAGTGATATGCCAGGGAAGCTAGAAGCCGCGGGGTCTCCCTCACTAGGGCTCTGAGGGCCTGGGCCTGGCCAGGGGCCAGCCTGGCTGGGAACAAGCTGGAAAGTGCCACTTCAGATAAGCGGCCACTGCTCTCTCAGTCCCTTGAGGAAGGGCGTGCTGCAGGCTGAGCAGCCTAGACAATGAGGAAAAGAGTGGATGGCTCCGAGGTTGTTGCCAATGAAAGAAAAGCTTAGAAGCTGCCAGAGCTTGAGTGCAAAGGTGTATAATTGCAAAGGTGTTTCTGGCTGAGTGATGTCCCCAGGCACAAAGAATCTGTTGGGCGAGAGCATAGAAGAGGTTTTGTTTTCCAGGACCAGAACCTGCCCCCTAGCTCTCCAAACAGGCCTGATAAGTGCTCTCTGCTCATTGGCCCAGAGAGCACATATGTGTTTTCCTCTCAGTTTCCAACACCAGGAAAGGGAAGGGCCAGTCCCCAGCTATGCTCACCATGGTTCTGTCTGCCCGTTCAGCTTCCACAGCCAGGTGCTCGCTCTCAGCTGGTAATGCCTGGTGTGGGAGCTGGCTCAGTGGTCAGATGGGACATAAGGAATCTGTTACTAACAATCGGTACCAACATTTGGGAGGGCTTTACTTAAAAAAAAAAAAGTACATTATAGTGCATTTAATTTTTCACCATAATAAAATCCTGCCATTCCCTGCCGTGCAGGTGTGCTTTCCCAAGTGGGAGAGGAAGGGCTGGGTGCAGGCAGGAGCCTTGGGCTGCACAAGCCCACGCTGACTGTGAACGTGAAGCAGCAGGGGATCTGAACCATTCCAGGTGCCAGGAGTTAGGGTGTGCGCCTGGGTCTTTGCACGGACTCATCTGCATCAAGGACCCACTAGTAACTGTGTTTCCTAACTCCCAAGTCCACCTGGTAAACTCCTACACAAATCCCTGAAGATAAACACTGAAGTCCCTTCTACTCCAGGCAGACTCAGCCGTGCCACCTAGTGTTCCTGCAGCACTCACATGCCCCTCTAAGGGTTTCGGAGCACAGAGAGGGGCTCTGCCATTATTGGCTGCCCCATGGACGTAATATCACACATGCCCGACTGCATCGAGTTTCCACAACAAGCCCTGCGATATTATGCTCTTGTCCCCACTTTACAGAGGAGAAAATTGAGGCTCAGAATTAAGTAACTTCCTCATGACCAAACAGCTAACAAGGGGTGGATGCAAACCTAGGTCTTTATTCCTACACTGTATACCTGTCAGCTCAGTTCAGGCTCAGCAATTATCCTGACATTATTGAGTCAGAAACCAGAGATGCTTCGGCGAGAAGAGATGTGTTTGTTATCCATTGAGGTCAGCCTGCCTCACATCAGGATTATAACAACATTTAGCCGAGCCTTTATTTGGTGCCCAAAGGGCATGTTTTACCCTGTGGGTATTCTCTCAAGATGTATTAGCGTGCTCTGCCCTCTCTATTGGAGCTTCTGATTTAAAACAGACACATGTACAGTTGAGCATGTGTCTGTCTGTAGACCACAGATCAGCTGTAGGATGTAAGAGCTAAAAAGGAACCATTTACTTATTTCAATCTCCTTGTTTTAAGATGAAGAGACCAAGAGCAAAGGAGACTCATAGCTACCATGACTGAAACTACCATGGACCCAGCACTGTGCTAGACACATTTTTTTGCACTATTTTATTTAATCCTCAGGCAGGCACGATTTTAATCTATCCCCACTGACAGATGAAGAAACCGAGGCTCTGCAGGGTGAAGTGACTTGCTTACTGTCCCAGAGCTCATCACTGGGGGAACCAGAGTTTGAGTCCAGGTGAGTCTGCTCCAAAGCGTATGTTCCCAACCTGCACACCCAGTAGAGGGCTTTCCTGCAAGGTGCTGAGGGCAGACGCTCTGCCCCGCTACCCTGTAGACCTGCAGGCAGTGCTGCCCTTGTGATTTGCACAGGCCAACCTCCTGTACTCAGGTTCAGCCCCTCTCTGGAATTAGCACGAAGCTGCTCTTCCCAGTAGTAGTGGTTATTTTCAGAAGTGTGAAGTAAGTGTAAAATAGGATAGTTTCAGTAAAAATATCTCCCGGCTTATACAGTGAAGTGGTACCAGAGTCACTGACTTTGAGCAGATATGTGGGTAGTTTTTGCCAAGATGAATTTAATTCTCATATGATAGCCATTTGGAGAGGTCACAGGGTCCTAGGTGAATGGAAGGCTGAACTGCAGGGAGCTGGGCTTTCCTCCCAGAGTGAGGATGCCCCAAGTTCTAGAGCACAGAGGAGTCAGCCCTAGGTTTAAAGTGAAAGGCCTGAAGCCACGTCCAGCCTGAGGGTCCTAACCCTGTGAGCAAGGGTTATCCTCCCTCTTTATCTTCCACAGGAGCTGCAGGGGTTAATGATGTAATATACACGAAAGTGCCCATCGCCAATATCTTGGTCAAGCTTCAAAATTTACCCGCAACTCCATCCTCCCCCCTAATGATTTTCTGAGAATTACTGTATTTTAAGATGAAATGTGCATTTAAGTCTATGGCATCATCATTGAAAATTCTGGACAGCAGCAGGCTCCAGCAAGTAATCCTTCCTACCCCCCAGCCCCTACAGTGTGTTTCTCATGCTTTTAACGTGAACACACTTTTTCCTCTGGCCTGTTGTTCCTTTAGTGGGCATTTACCAAATGCCAGTTCTGTGCCAGGCACGGTACAAGAGCTCACAGGCAAGACATCCTACTTGCCAACACAGCACCTAATGCAGAGCCCAGAAAGCTATGGGTTTGGTTTCTTTCCTGTCAGAAGCCAGAGGGCACTTGTTCTGTCCTGAGACACCCCCTGCTTCCTCGTTCTACCTTGGAGCATCCATCTAAGAAATGGGGTCCCCCTTGGATCCCACCGGCTCCAGCGGCTTGACCCAAGGGGTTGCTGGGGGATCGTGCTGGTCTGTTGGCCCAGCTTCAAACTGCTGAGGCTTTTCTCCAACTCTTGGCCACAGCCAAGGGAAGCCTGGTGCCAGGCTCTGAGGCCCGGATGGAGCAGGCTGCCGGAAGGCACTTACCCGATGGCTTGTCTGTGGAGGATGGGAGGTTGGTGAGGGTGGGCATGGTGGGCAGGGGGGGCGGCAGCACCTTCAGGTTCTGATCACTCTGGATCTCATTGGTGGAGAACTGATTGATGATGCGGTTGTAGGGGGACGGCTGGTAGATCTGGGGCGGAGTGGCAGGGGGCGGCTGGGGCATAGGTCTGGCCGCGGGCACCCGCTGGCAGTGCTCCTCAAGCTGTGCGATTATCTCCGATTGGTTGTGGGCCAGCGTGGCCAGGTGCTGGTACTTGTGCTCTAGGTCCTTGTATTTGCTGGCCAGCTGCAGCATGTCGGCCGTCTGGTTAAGGATCCGGTTCTCCAGCTGGGAGAGCTCCAGTGCGTTGTCCCGCTTGCGGATGATCTCATGTAGGAGCTGCATGTAGAGCTGCGTGACCCGCGAGTTCATGTTGCGGCTCTCCTTGCGCAGCAGCTTCACCTCGCTCACGATGCCACCGTCCACCTCCACCAGCTGCTGCAGTGTCTCAATCTGCCGCTTCTGCTTGAGCAGCTCGTTGTTGAGCAGCTCCAGCTCCTGCTTGTGCACACGGTTCTCCAGGAGCACCTCGGGCTCCTTGGAGTTGACACAGATGGCACCTGTGACCCGTTGCTGAGGCACGATGAAGGTGTAGGTGCACTTGTCCGGGGACTCACCAGCCCGCTTGTACCTGTTCAGGTAAATGAACTCGCTCGGTGAGCCCTCCTCGGTGCCCTCCAAACCATCCTTCTGGCCGGTGGCAGCTCCCGAGGCGGCCAGCAGTCCCAGCCACCAGCACGTCACACACAGCGCCCTCATGGTCCTTGCAAAATGGTGGTTTTTCTTTGCGAACAGAGCCTATGAAAACCTGAAAGTAAACAGAAGGGGAGACTCAGTAACAGTCCTGTCACTGCCAGTGGCCTGTGCCATAAATGAGCTCAGCCTTCTCACCAGGCTGATCTTTCCAAAAACGCAGCTCCAGGAGGTAGCCCTTCTGGAAGCAGCAGCAGGAGACAGGCGGGCCCCAGCAGAGATAGAAAGGAAAATGGAGGAGACCGGGGCGCCTGAAGGCAGGAGGCCACAGCCCTGCTGCTCCGGGGCCTGGCTCCAGTGCCCACAGCCCGAGAGCCTCATGAGGGCAGCTTGGAGCCGGGAGGGAGGTGGAGGAGGGCTGTCCTAGCGCCTTCTCCTCTGCCTCATACTCCTCAGACCAGTAAGCCTCCCCATTCTACGTGGTCATAACCCCCTGGGCTTTCCCCTTCTACATGATCACAGTTTTGAGGAACTGGAATTCTTTGCGATGCCTTCTGCTGGACTCCGTGTTTCACGAGGGCAGGCACTGTGTCCGATTCAGGCCCGTGTCCCGACCTGCGGCACTACGCGAGCTTTCAGCAAGTATTTGTTAAAGGAGTGAATTGCTAGCTACAGTATGGAATGTGTTCAGTTTCTAGCGGACAGTGTGAATGGAAGGATGTGTCCAGTGTGTCCAGTCCCGTGGCCTTCGCCTGTGGGTTAGCCAGACTGCGGAGCCCAAACAGGAACAAACAGCCGAGCTCCTAGAGATCCAAATATTTGCCACAGCCCATCACCGCACGGGTCCCAGTCACTGCAACATGATTGAACCAGGCGGGAGCAGCAAACAGGCATGTGTCTTTCGGAGTTGTTTCAGTTCTACCCTTGGACCGTTCATACCTTCCCCTGACATCCACTGAACATCTGTGGTGTGCCAGTCAGTGTGGCGGCCGCTGGAGACACCACTGCCAGCAGGACCAAGCCTCCCGCCGCCCTCGCGGGGTTTCCCGCCACGTCACAGTCTCGTAAGTGCCGGGAAGGGAGGTAGCGTCTGCTCTGAAAGAGCGTATTGGGGAGCTGACCTTATTGGAGGGGTCAGGAAAGCTTCCCTGAGAAAGTGACCTATATGCTGACCCCTGGGGATGAGTTAGGAGTCAGGCCAAGAGGGAGGGGACAGACATGCGCGGATCCCTCCTCTTGTGTACTCGAGGACATTGCCCCAGGAGCTTTCCCCCGTTTCTCCCACATTTTTCCAACAATCATGCTGTTTCCCTCAACTTAAAGAGTACCCTCTCTTGACCTCACATCCCCTCTCCAGCCACTGTTCCATTTCTCCGCTCCCCTTTTTAGCAAAGCCCTTCATACAGTTTCCTGTACTCAGTCTTTCCAGAGAGCCCCTCTCTCCCTGTTCTTTCGTGAACTCCCTCCCGTCAGGTCT